GAATGATGAGAAGTGTAATACGTTTTCTTGATAATATACTGAGGTTCTTTACAATAAATTTTAATTTACACAAACATATCTAAGTAAAGTTTGAGATTTTATGAATTACACAACAGACCTTTTATGAAAGAAAACAAATTTTATTTTTAAAACATATTAATTTTCTGTTTTCAAAAAAAAATTGTATTACTACCCCAGAATAGTAAATGTCACCCCCTGCTTATGGAGTGAACACAGCCTAGCTTCAATAAAATACCTTGTGGTTGGTTGAAAGTTGCACAGCACCAGTCATAGGATAACTACCATTCTTCCTCAATATGTTAGCCTTTTTTACAATTACCTTTACTTTCTTAATCTTTAAATTAAGGGAATTTTCTTTTTTTTTCTTTCTTTCTTTCTATTAGATTGCTGAAATTACCATACGAGATTTGGTTTTGGAATTAATGAATCATACATCATGTACAATCTCAAGAATTAAATGTTTATATTTAATTTCAGAGAAATGATGGATTTCATTATATAAAGCTTGAATGTATTTTGTGATTTATGTTTAGGATTCAAAGTTAGCTCTCATAATAATATATTTTTATAACCGAATACATTTTATTTTATCCTTGTACTCATTTAAACTAAAAAAATGGCTAGTGTAATATATTCATTTGCCTATTCCATCACTAAGTAAGAGGGTATTAGTTTTTGGACAATTCCCTTACCGGACTATTAGCATATACATTAAATGCCCATGGTTGCATGCATCCCAATGTTGGGTTGAGAAGCATGTAACTTGAGCTCTCCGTGGAAGCATCGTCATCATCTCTAAAAGGTTGAACTTTTATTTGAGCATTTGACCTATTCGAAACCATGTTTAACTTCCTTTGTCAATTCACAGAAAATGTGGATTTATACTTCTATTTGGAATTTACCTACGAACATGATGTGTTAAGCCCACTCTACAGTCTACAATTCAATATGAAGATCCATTAGAGCATACATGGTATTCGTTATTGGGCGTGACTTTGAGGTAGAGCCCTTTTAAATGGTGGAGTGTGACAGAGTGTATAGCACTTGTCCACCTTTTGTTTAGATGAGTAATGTGGTGTGACCCATCTAAAAGTTTTCTATTTAGGAGGGTATCACTTTTCAGAAAAAAATGGAATAATTTCTTGGGTCTTGGGGCTTTTTTTTTCTATTTATTGTCATCGGCCTATTCTACAAAGGTCGAAGTTCAATTTTGTTGTGTATGAATTCATTTTTCCAATCCTAATTGTTCATTTCTTCTCATCCTTAGTGACTCACCAGAATTCTTGAATTGATTTACCTCATGATTTGTTGTCTAAAGTTTTGACACGAGTTGGTGCAACGAATTTCCAACATCTTTTCTATCATTCATATATTTCAAGAAATACGCCGAAAGTGGGTGTCAAATATTATAGGAGACTTTCCGGACAAGTGTAATTGAGGTTGCTTGACATTCGTTTGTTGCATCTAAGAGGGCACATGCATGAGGGGCTTCATGTCCCTTACACTCAGAGAGAGGTTGAAAGACTATAATGCATTGCTGGAATATTACAACCTTATCAGTTACTGTATAATGGAGGCGCTTCATATTTGTAGGACTTCCATAGTTTGGGTATCACTCCCATGGGTGATTTATATTTTGTATCTCCCAATACCATGTAACTGCAAGCTTCTGTATTACGACTTTGTATAAATGTTTTTGAAATCCTTGTAATCTCCTCATTCTATTGAAAGAAAGTGTTTCTGAAGTCCAGCTCTAAATATTGCTTGGACGAAGCATAGATAATACAGTTTCTGCAAGTCATAAAGAAAATAATTTGAAGAAACACTTTGAATCGAAATAAAAATTAAAAATCTAACGAATCAGTGAACCAAAACTTTGAAGAATCATTGATTAGATAATACAATTTCTGCAAGTCATTAAGAAAATTAAGAATTTCTACAAGGAATTGTGGATTGTCTTCTGTGTTCTTCATTCCCTAATAAATCCCTTTTAAAGAAAATTAAATCCTTATCACAGGAACTAAGCGATTTTAGTATTTAGAGGTATGGTTATAATTCTTAAGAGTCCTAGATACAAGCAATTGATAAAATCTGAACGTTCATCCTATTGACACAGAAGACATAGTCATACTCATATATATATATATATATATATATATATATATTCAACTGATAAATTTTCCACAAGGAACCAATTCACATCAAAGCAAGAAACACGACCAGCAATGGATTTCTAAAGCAAAGACAACGACATGCAAGCGAACACACTTAATTAGCAGAAAACAACAGGATTGTTCATTCACTCTCAAATGTCTCTTCCGCCGAGTAAAACACCACAATGTCACCCTCTTCAGGCAGCATAAATTTAACCTTCTTCTTCTTCTTCTTCTTCAACTTCCCACTTGGGTTTCTCCAACTGAACGAAGAACCTGAAACATCATCCCCAGAACAAAGATTCAAAGAAGATTGTTGTACCCTTTTCGAAAAGTGTTCAAACATGTAGAGTTCGCCTCCATTGAGAGAATTCGGATGCGAGCATTTTCGATCGGGAGAAGCTAATAGCCAATCCCCTAGGGTCATCTTCTTCGGTTTCTTCTTTTTCGTTGTTTTCCCTTTTTTCAAGCACTTGGGTTTCATGGATTCAATGATGGATGGTCTTTGATGCGAAGTAGTAACATTTGAACTCAATGACTTGGGTTCTCGCTTTGAATTGGAGTTCTTGCTTGCTTTTGCACCCATTGGATCTCCTCGTGGAATGAAATCACCAATGACGAAAATTGGGAATTATAAATACCAAAAACGAGAATCTGGTCTCTAAACCTATTTGTAATGATAGAAGCATAATAATAACAAATATAAAGCAACAGTAAAATAAAGAATATTAAGATTTAATGTACGGAGTATTTTTAGAAAAAAAAAATCACAGATAAAAGAAGAAAAAATCCGCTCTGTTAGAAAAAAGTACAAGAAAATTCTTGTCTAAACATGATTTAGAATTTTGATCGACTTACTTTTAAATCTTAATTCATAATATATATTTACAAGGATAAGTTTCTTATTTACAAAGATATATAAATAGATCTAATCGAACTGAGTTTCGCAAAGAAAAAAAAGTTATACACAAATTAATTGTTCTGTAACGAAGGGGTTGAATCCAGGGATTGACCGGGGTACAATCACACCCTTTGAAAATTTCATTTTCTTATTTTTTTAGTATTTCCATTTGATGGTCTAATTTCACACCTCTTAAGATTTTGTAATTTTGCATTTTCTAAATTTCTACGGCAACTTTTAAGTTTACACCCTTGACATAAAATCTTAAGTCTGTCCCTAATTGGATTCTCATTTTAACATCTATTTGAAGTAAATTTCTTACCATGCATCTCGAGTATGATAAAGAAAATTAATTCACACAACTCTAACATTATTTATGGTTCGATTTTAAAAAATGATGTAATCATCTGATTCTTAGACCGGTGTACATTTAAATCATTGGCTTTAAGCAATTGGAATTTACTTGAGCGGTTCGACGAATGGAGATTTGATCAACAAAGAAAACGGGAGTGGCCTGCAATAGGTAGAGTACAAACATGGCCTGAAAGTTGCATAGATGCCATTGAGATCATCGTTTTGTAGCTTCTCATTGACCCCTTTAAACACCCCGCTACTTTCAGCAACAACACAATAATAAATGTATGATCAGTTTGCTTTTAACGTTTTGTATTTGATAGATTGTTGGAATATAAATTCTTTTATTATTTAATAAAGAATATAACTAAATTACATATGTTCACATCTTGTTAAAAATTTTAATAAAATATATATTTGATCTTAGTATCTTACATCCTCTTATATATTGTATTAAGAACAATATCAAGTAAACTAAATTCAGCTTAATTTGTTAACCTGTGATATCGAGTAATCCTTTTTTATAACAGAAATACACGTATCACTGTTTCGTTATTTATTTTCGGCCTAAAATATCATTGTTGAACATCGATGTTAGTGCTTCTAGGAGTAGATTGAACTCATGAGTTTCAAAAGTGACTTATGGGGTCTAGTAATCTTTATATTTATTTGTATTAAATATAAATCGTTACCGCTGAAGGTCATACAACTTAGGCCTGGTGGATGCATATTTAAAATGGTCAACTTAGACATACCTCTGTAAATGTAACTGCTCGAATTTAGGACCTCAAACAAAAATAACACTCTCTTTGATCACTTAAATCATTCAATTGTTTAATCAAATTAAGTTAAATATAACCATCCAAATTTCTTAAGTTACCAATAATTGAATGAATATAATGTCACTTAAAAATTCTACATCATATTTTAAATTAAACTTATCTTATAAAATTAACACATCAAAATATTTTAGTGACTAAAAATATTATTCTTTATAAAGATTATGCATCTAAACAATTACGTTTACATATATATTATCAATGATTATAAAAAATAACTAATAAAAATTATAATCATATATTATCTTGTAATTCCTTCAAATAATTTAAAAAATAAACATTTTCCCTCATTTTTGTAACGATATTATAATACACGACGAAGCCATAAAATAGTTTTACCCAATTCAAAGGTTTAATCATCTTGAAAATTTTGAATATATATTGATAATTAAAAGGGATAAAACAATAATTAATCCGTAAATTTAGTAATTTTTTCAATTTGATCATTGAATTTTGTTTAACCGCATAGATGCCAGATGCTGGTAGTTTTCTTTCCAATTTGATCCCTAAAGTTTTTTTTCAGTACACGTTTAGTCCATGATCTTGATTACTTTCTCCAGCTTAATGAAATCTAAGTCCAAGGAATAAGTCGAGATCAAGGGTACGGATTCAATCACACTCTTCCTTTGGTACATGTAGCTTTCATATCATCATCTTTTTGTTTTTCTTTCAAACAAGAGCTGAAGAAGAATTAGAAAACAGAGTGAAGAAAAAGCTAAAAGGGTTCGAGTCTAGTTAACAATCTCGTTTGATGAGTGATTCTTGTGTATTCTTAGGCACTTGTAACAAACTGCAAGTGCTGCAGTTTAGTTTTGTTAGTAATATTCTTCTGGGTTTTCTTTGCTCCGAATCAGAGGAACACCATCTTCTCTCCAAACTATCCGGTCTTCGCATAAAGCGGCTGTCACCTTCACGTATAATTTATGTTCCTGTAAAGAAACCGACGATCATCGTAAAGTTCCTAAATCCTTAAAGAACTTTTAACAGTCTCATAATCATCCGATAGAACTTGATCTTGATAATAATCATGATTCGATTTCATAACCACCTTAAAATCAATTTACTACAGGGTGATGTTGAAGTGAAGAAAGATGTAGGAAAACATTTCTTAATAAAAAGACATAAAATCAACTAACCTCTCGTAGAACCCTAGCGGCTAACTCCTCAGCGGTGTCATTTGCGAGAACAGGGACAGCTTTCTGTGCAAGTATCCGACCCGTATCGTAATGCTCATCAACAAAATGTATTGTTGCACCAGAGTATCTAAACAATACCAAACCTTTTCTAGCTGATACGGGTTCAAAATGCCAAGAATAACATAAAAACATGATACATGAAACTAAAGGCAAAAGCATACCTTGCCCCAGAAGCAATAACTGCTTTATGCACTTCCATACCATAATAACCTTCACCTCCAAAAGCTGGAAGAAGAGATGGATGGATGTTAAAAATCGATCTAGGATAAGCTTGAATTAACTCCGGTGGTATAAGTTTCAGATATCCAGCCAAAAGAATGAAATCGACTTCAAATTCCCTGAATCAGATAATCAATCATTCCCATAAGCAATAGCCCGCGAAATAATTGGGTAGACAGACCAATATAACTAGGCTGAAAGAAGAAAACAACCTAAGAACCTTCACAAGGTCACCAGAAGACAGGCCATTGAGTTCATCCTTTCTTTTCGGGAACAAAATAACTGGAATGCCTTTATCTCTAGCATATTGTGCACCTCCACAAGCTGCCATCACAAAAAAGAAGAATGTGTAATTCTAATAGTTGCAAGAAGGTTTTTTTCCCCATCTCAAGAGTTAGCATTTAAAATTGAAAGACACCAACAAACGATACATGAATTACTTCAAAGCCTCTGTAATTACATTACTTAAATCACATCTTAATTCAAAGTATTTTTTAAGCAACTATATTCTGGGAAGTACAACCAGAAATATACAAAATTCTAACTGACTCGCATTTTCTTTAAGAGAACAAATTACCATGTTTATTAGTGACCAAAACAACAACGTCTCCATTGACAGAGCCTTCAATGCATGCTTGGTTAATTGACCTGAAATTCGAGCCTCCACCAGAGACAAAAACAGCTAGCTTTCTCCGCTTAACCCATGATTTCGAACCTTCCTTCTCAGGAACAACATTACTTACTTTTTCTGCATTGTTTGAACACTCTAATCTTCTTACCGACATGAACCTTTCAGAAGGTGGGAAATATTCGAGTTTAAAGGAGACCCGATGTTTTGATCGAATGAAACAAGAAGAATATGAAAGAGAATACGACGAGGGCGATAACGGACTTTGAACCTTTCTATATAATGGGGTTATTGAATTTGAGCAAAACCCAGAAAACAAGCTTTGTGCTGCCATTGAAATCAAAGATAAATGCGCTGAATTGGGGGGAAATGTTTTTGTATTCTCTCAACACTCTTTTTTTTTTGCTTTTGATATGTATTCTCTCAACACTCAATAATGGAAGAAACAGGACACTAAAACCCTGATATTACCATTCAATGCAATAAATGAATAAAACTCGAAAACACTCGATATCTAGAAAAAGAAGGTTGCGGAGTGCATAAAATCTTTAAAATACTCCCTGCAACAAAACAAAAAAGCTAAATTAAATTAAATTAAATCACTTACATGTAAAGGAAGATCGAAGCACAACGTTGCCACCAACGATATTTAATCTATTTAAAAAAAACAGAAACAAAATAAAGTATAATCTGGGTAATTTTTATAAAGAGAATCACTTTATGAGAAAATCGAGCTGCTGCCACTGCTGGAAGCTCTGGCAAGGATATAGAATTGAGACAGAGAACTATGATTTGGGCAACGAAGGCGCCGCTTTTATTCTTATAAATGCAATGAAGAAAAGGATGCCTTCAATTGGGCTTTTTTAACACTGGCCTGGTGCGAGCTAACCCCTTTAATTGCCCGAACCATGAGATGATAGTAGTTAAGGCAGTTGTTATTTAGATTTGATAAATTTGATCCGAACTGATTTACATGAACCAATATCCGAAACAGACTCAAACAAAATGATCTAAATTTAAGCCGAAACCCGAAAATATTATCAATTAGTTAAGAGCCTTTGAACATATACATTATCTTACATTAGTAGCAGGTTTATCGAAAAAAATATTATAATTAATTTAACCAACACACCTAAAATAAGAAATTAATCTTTTAAGTAAAACTAAATATTTGAATCTTGATGCCTGAAATTAAGAAAATAAAATTTAAAAATATTATCTTCATAAAGATTCATTAATTAATCGAGTTATCAAGAATATTCATGTTTATATATTTTATGTGAAATTCACTACAATTAAATTAAGATATGCGATAAGAAAATAATCAATGATATAATATTGGATGATCCGATAATATTCTACTAAAGATTATGAGATTTTCCCAAAAGTAAATTTTAAATGGGTAAAGTATACAAATGGTTCCTTGACTATGGGGTTCTGCTTTATTAAATCCCTTGAATATTAAAAGTTATAAAATGATCATCTGACTATTTATTATGTTCCAAAACGTCATTTTTCATTAAAAATAGACAATATTTTGCTTTGAATGTCAACTTGTTGATTGTGATATGATAAAATTTGATATCAGAATCTCATACGACTATCATATCCCAGTCATTTTGACGTCCAACTTAAACAACTACTATTTTTTAACAGAAAATGATGAGTTTTGAACATAATGAATAGTTAGGTTATCATTTTGTAACTTTTAATAGTCAAATGACTTATCAAAGTAACATTCTATAGTGGGAAGACCATTTTGAAACTTTTAATAGTCAAAAGATTTAATAAAATAATGTTTTATAGTTGAGGGATCATTTGTGTACTTTACCCATTTTAATTAAATCGATAGAATTAAAATACTGAATATATAAAGTATAAGAATGTGGTTTAAAATCCAATTGTATAAATAATGAGTTATCCTCATAAATATTTACGGATAAATTACACAAATGATTATTAGTGTTTGAGTCATTTTTTCCATTAAAGTTTCAAAAGTAAGAAATTGATTATTAATATTATCAATTTATAATAAAACGGTCACTAACGTTATCGATTTATAACAAAATAGTCACTCCACTGTCATCTTCGTTAAGTTGATGATGTGGCAACAATAATAAAAAAATTAATATTTAGTTTTACTTCTAAAATTCTACTAAAAACATTACATAGGTCCTTGAATAGTAATTTTATATCTAATTATCCCAAAAACTTTCTAATTTTAAAAAAAAATCCAAAAATTATGCTAATTATTCTTGAATAAAATTTCTAAAAATAAAAATCTATAAAAACATTAAAATGTAAAAAAAATTAAGATTAAAATATCTAGAAAATACTAAAATTTGACAAGTATATAAGAAAATAAATATTAAATAAATTTTTATTATTTTAACTAATCTTAATTTGGGCAGTTATGATGGGTTATTTGGAATAATACATTGGTATCTTCACTGTCAACTATGTCACATTTGCTGAATGAGTGACAATAAGCTGGAAATGTCTTTGTTATAAAGTAACCGGTGAGGACTAGTGACGAACTGTTTATCATGGTTATAGACAGTATGTTGAGTGAATTACTGCAACCCTTTAAACACAAGTGTAAAATAGGAGTTTGTTTCATTGTTTGAGAGCAAGATAGTGTTTTCTTCTTCTTCTTCTTCTGAGAGTTGTCACTACTACAGCTAGTTTCTTCTCGTTGAGGATAATTGAACCTCTCCCACAAATTGGGATTATTTTAAATAATTTAATAAAACATTAAAAATTAAAATTAAAAAATCTAATAAAACATTAAAAATTCAAACATTCAATTTCTTCTAGATCTTTTAATTTCTAATGTTTTATTAGATTTTTGTTTTTAAAAATAATATTCAAGTATAATTATAATTTGGAATTCTTGAAAATTATAAAGATTTATAGGATAAATTAGATATAAAATCATTGTTGAAGGACATATTTAGTGTTTTAACAGTCTTTTAGGGGTAATATTAAATATTAACTTAATGGGGAGAGAGTTGAAATGAGAGAGAACAAAAGCATTATTGAAATTGATAGGGCTTCACTTGATCAGTTCAGTATCCCTTGATGGCTCTACAAATCAGGAGTTATACTCGACATCATGTTACAAAATTTCCAAAACACAGCATGCTTGAAATAATTCAAAGCTAATAGAGCCAAGTGTAGCAACTTTTAATTAACAGCAAAAACAAGAAAACAACTGATAATTGACCCAGGAAAAACGGCATTTTTGGAAGATTTCGCCATCATTCTGTTGCAACAGCAGGCTTTGCCTCGCCCTCTGAAAAGTAATCATGTCTGAAATATCGACGAAAAACATATAAAAAAATTGGCAACATATGCTGCAAAGGTTCAAATAAGGGAAGGGAAACAGATATCATTGGTTAAGTTGACTTACTTTATTTTTCGGGACAGTTGGTATATGCCTGTTCCAGCCATAGCAATGTTCACACTAAAGAGATTCCAGTTCTTCTGCATTTTCAAATTGAGGAATGAATGAGAATCAAACCAGCCCGAACTTATACTGATTATAAGTGTTAAAAGAACATTGAAGTTCCTATGTGTACAAACTTATAGGTAATCTAATCAACCATCAAACTTACCGGCGTGATTACCATGCTATAACGTGACCAGATGACTCCAGTTGCAGTAACCGCTGGGGTACCAGAAAACAGCATTCAATAAATACTAGGAAACAAATACTTTAGAATAAAATAACATGTGCAACACACAGATATAGATCAATTAGAAATCATGAAACATCACATACCTATTTGCTGAGGGTAGGAGATTTTTTCTGGTGGTTTCGCGAAGTCAGCTATGTTGGCTATGCTAATGCCCCATTTAAAAGTTGGTGCCCAAAAGTGAACTGAAATGAAACAAGCCAATAGTTTTTTTTTATGTATGTTTTTAAGAATCAATAACCTGAATCATTAAAATACCTAGTTAGTTTAAAGAAATAAACCACTTTGGTAGACCGTACATATCAATATATCATCTAACAAGATATCCATTTATATTTATGGGATTATCATAACACCTCACTTCCCTTCATCAATCTATAAAGTATAAGCTATTGTAGTAAATCACAGTTGCCGGCCTTGCAGCCTATGTTTCTCGAACTCTTCATTTTTCGTGAAGTCCCAGTGTTCATCACTAATGTCAGACCCACGGATGAGAATATGACCTCCAAGAATCCTCCAAATATATAGAAAATTTACAAAATGTAACCATATCCACGCCAGATTAATACCCGTATCCAACACTGATATTCGAAACCGAGTACGTGGGTTGCAACCTCACAATCATGCAACTAATTCAATCTGATTCACATATTCAAACGTCATCAGTTGGTGGGATACTAGTATACTTTCCGAGTCGTGCAGTTTATATGCCTTCACTTGTTATCGTATATTTTCAAAAGCCAAAATATTGGGTTTCATTGCTCAGAGGAAATCACCCTAACTGGGCATTCAAATTAAACAAAACTCAAATACCGAACGAATCTATAAATCAGCGATTCTAGTTTCTTCGACATGAAAATTTTAAGAGAAACCCAAATTCCGAACGAATCTTATGTACAAAAGCATAGATCGTGTCGGCGAACAAAGATTCATGGATAAAAATTGAGATTTTGCTAATACTAATTAATCAAATACATACAAAAAGGATCTATCGAATACGAGTAATTGGAATCTAATCATCGGATTAAAAGAAGGAGCGAGTCAACTCACTGGTTTTGGGTCCGGCTGGGTGATTCCACAGAGCTTGTAGCTTAGAGGCCGCCATGGATTCAGCTCGTTTTTCCCACTTTACTGATTTTTTTTGGTTTGGTCTAACAAAATAAAGGAAGAATTTTGGTTTTGGTTCTGTATAGTTTTATATTAGCTAGTGCTGAGCAACTATCCAACTGTGTGTCACCACGTAGCTATATTGACTTTTTGACTTTCAAATGGCTGCTCTAGTCAGACCGTGCGTATTGAAATCCGCTTGACGATATTAGTTTTTTTTGGGAGGGGGGGTGTTTGGGGGGTTTCAAATTTTATTTATAGGTTCTTGTACTATCTATTCTTTGTATTTAGTCCTTATTCTATGGTATTTTAATATGTTTGTTTCTAGAAATAAGTATTATAAATTTCGATGATGACATTTGAGTTATGATGACTATATGTTGTTTGTTTCTTTTAATTTAGTTAAAAAATAGTAGCTGATTGTTCATTGTGGAGTTATAGACAATTCATGTCACCCGATTCATGTAGTTTAAAGAAGAAAAATAATTGATGGAGATCCCCAAAAAAATCACTCTTTCATTTATATGAGGAATTTGTATAACGATCCTTAATGTCAATGTCAGACCTAGGTTGATGATGTCTATTTATAGGTTAAAAATGTAACATCCTAAACTCGATTGGGCCTAAAGTGCCTCACTAGGCTGCCGAGACAACCCTTGATTTTCAAAACATTTTTATTTCATTTTCAAACATACTGAATGGTATCATAATAAAACATAAATAACTGTTATAAAAATATTTTACAAAACCAAAGCTCCATGACACATAATTTAAAACAAATAATACATCTTGAAGTTTACAACTGAAATACATAAGGTTCTATGAATACACATACCCACTAAAACTAAAGTACAATACTCTGTCGGAGATACTAGAAGTCCTACTGCGACAGTGCTCCATTAACTGCCCAAGCTACTGACCTGCTAACGGAAAACATCCAATGACTGAGCTTACAAAGCCCAATAATATAATCCCTAATCTAGAGAAGCATAAGAATTCCATAAAAAAAAATATGCTGAAGACATGACATTGAGTAGTAGGTACATTCATGATATAGGTCAAGTGCTACCTACATAGGCTTTACTGTTCTACCTTGGCCATATGAGTCTCACGCTTCCCTTAGTCCTTCGCTAAGGGCCTCGCCATGAGTACGCCTCTAAAGAATTTCTAACCCTAATGCTTGTAACTGTTACGTATTATCTAAATACAACACTGATATTCTTGTGCATTATCTAAATACACACCTGAACATATTGTGCATTATCTGAATGCAACACTGACTAGTATTTGGTCTCACATAGCCATCAGACACTAGTTACTAAGGGAGCCCGGTGTCAAATAGCCATCAGACATCTCAATTCTAAGGATAGTAACCAATTTGATAACACCCTAAAAGTTGGATGACTCAATCACAAGGAATTTTATTTCAATGGAAAAATTGCAAGCACGCTAAAAATGGACTGTCCATTTAAGAAGTTTACCAGAAAATAACCATCACCAAATTCACAACCTAGTTTACAATTAATGAATGATGGGTAAACAAAAATAAAAATAAAAAACTAAAATATAGTTCTATTTCTTTTTCTAAAATTTATAATGCATAAAGTTAAGTTATAAAAATATATATATTATGGGAAGAGAGATGAAGTGAGGGAACAAAAGCATTATTGAAAATGATAGGTCATCAGTTGATCAGTTCAGTATCTCTTGATAGCTCTACAAATCAGAATTAAACTCAACATCATGTTACTAATTTCCACAACACAACATGCTTGAAATAATTCAAAGCTATAGAGCCAAGTGTAACATCTTTTAATTAACAGCAAAACAAGAAAACTGATAATTGACCCAGGAAAAACGGCATTTTCGGAAGATTTCGCAATCATTCTGTTGCAACAGCAGGCTTTACCTCGCCCTCTGGAAAGTAATCATGTCTGAAATATCGATAAAAACATATAAAAACAGCGCATCAGAGAGCAGCCATAGAAATCAATGGCAACAGAGACAACAGAATCAACATATGCCGGAAAGGTTCAAATATGAGAAGGGAAACAGATATCAATGGTTAAGTTGACTTACTTTATTTTTCGGGACAGTTGGTATATGCCTGTTCTGGCCATAGCAATGTTCACACTAAAGAGATTCCAGTTCTTCTGCGTTTTAAAATCGAGGAATGACTGAGAATCAAAACCAGCCCGAACTTATACTTATTTTAAGTGTTAAAAGAACATTGAAGTTCCTATATGTGCACACTTATAGGTAATCTAATCAATCATCAAACTTACCGGAGTAATTACAGTGCTATAGCGTGACCAGATGACTCCGGTTGCAGTAACCAATGGTGTACCAGAAAGCAGCATTCAATAAATACAAGGAAGCAATTATTTCAGAATAAAATAGCATGTTCAACACACAGATATAGATCTATTAGAAATCATAAAACGCCACATACCTATTTGCTGAGGGTAGGAGAGTTTTTCTGGTGGTTTCGTGAAGTCAGCTATGTTGCTATGCTAATGCCCCATATAAAAGTTGGTGCCCAAAAGTGAACTGAAATGAAACAAGCCAATAGTTTTTTTTTTTAATGTATGCTTTTAAGAATCAATAACCTGAATCATTAAAATACCTTGTTAGTTTAAAGCAATAAACCACTTTGGTAGATTTACATGTCAACATATCTTCTACAAAATATCTCCTGCAGATTGTACATGTCAATATATCATCCAGCAAGATATCTATTTATATTTATTGGATTATCAGAAGCTCATAACACCTCACTCCATCAATCTATAAAGTATAAACTAATCTAACAAATCATACTTGAGCCTTATGTTGCTCAAACTCTTCATTTTTCGTGAAGTCCCTGCGTTTGACACTCCTGTCAGAACCACGGATGAGAATATGCCCTCCAAGAATCCTCCAAATACATAGAAAATTTACAAAAATGTAACCATATTCGTGCCAGATTCATACCCATATCCAACACTCACATTTGGAAACGAGTGACATGGGTTGCGACCTCAAAAGCATGTAATAAATTCAATTTGATTCTCATATTCAAATGCCATCAATTGATGGGATACTAGTATTCTTTCCGTGTTGTGCAGTTATATGCCTTCACTAGTTATCATATATTTTCAAAAGCCAAAAAATTGGTTTTCATTCTTCAGAGGAAATCAATCAGCCAAAAACTTGTGTTTCATTGTTCAGAGGAAATCAATCTAACTGGACATTCTAGTTAAACAAGACTAAACTATTTGCACCAAATCTAGATTCTGGGAACTGCCTCATTTCCAACCGAGCAGAAAAACTCATATATAAATAAGTGATTCTAGTTTCTTCACTATCAAAGTTTGAAGAGAAACCCAAATACCGAACAAATATTATGTAAAAAAATGGATCTTGTCGGAGAAAAAAGATTCATGGAAAAAATTGAAATTTCGCTAATACAAATTAATCCAATAAATACAATAAAGGATCTATCAATACGAATAATTGGAATCTAATAATCGGAATAGAAGAAGGGGCGAGTCAACTCACTGGTTTTGGGTCCGGCAGGGTGATTCCAAAGAGCTTGTAGCTTAGAGGCCGCCATGGATTCAGCTCGTTTCTCCCACTTGATGTTTTTTGATTTGGTCTAACAAAATAAGGAAAGGAATTTTGGTTTCGGTTCTGTGTATTATATTGGGAAATGACCGCCGTGCGGTAACCTTAATATATTACTAAAAAAAAATGTTACCGATATTATTATTATTTAATAAAATTTGTAAAAAATTTATCACAAAAATTATTATTTCTATCAGTTTTGTTATTATTAGAAGTTTTACTGATTTTATTAATAAATCCGGTAATTACTGGTTTTGTTATTTTTTCTATCAGTTTTGTTATTATTAGATATTTTACTGAAATTGTTAAAAAATATTAATATTTTAAGTAATTTTTTACAAATTTTGTTAAAAAAATAATAACAAAACCGATAATGTATTTCTTTACCGAATACCACACTGTAAAACTTCCCTATTATATTAGCCGAAGAAACTATCCAACCACGTGTCACCACGTAATCGAAGTGAGTTTTGACTTTCAAACGGCTTCCCTCTAATAACAATACTAAAACGATGTGTAATCTACTGGACTGGACGATATGTTTTTAGGGAGGGACAAATTATATATAAGGATCTTGTACTATACATTCTTCGTATTTAGTCCTTAATTTATGATATTTTAACCTGTTATTTTGTTTTTTTAATTCTTAAATTTTTGATATTTTAAACTGTTATTTTGTTTTTTTAATTCTTAAATTTTTATTTGTTTTTATCAAATTGAATCAATCATAGTATATTTTTTATTCTAATTAAAAATTTGATATTAATTATTTTGTCAAATTATAAAAGAGGACTAAATCTGCAAAAATGCATACTGCATTACTATTGTACAATTTGACCTTTTTTGTTTTATATTATAAGCCAATTATTTCGGGGTAAATTATACGCTTACTCATTGAACTTTACTTTCTCTTATTTCACTCACCATACTTTCAATTTTTTAATTACTCACTAAACTTTAGACATTAAACTTTTTTGTCACTTGATTGTTTACTCAATAACAAGAAGATGACATGGCTATTTTATTAATATATAATGATTATATATATATATATAATCATTATATATTAATATATATATATATATGTGTGTGTGTATGATGTGTAATATTTAAATAAAATAAAATAAAAAACTTAATCACCCCACCCTCCCTCTCCCTCCCTCTCCCTCTCCCTCTCCCACTTCCACCCCACCCCACCCCACCCCACCCCACCCCACCCCCACATCCTTCTCCGACCACCATCTTAACCGCCCTTTTTAGAACCACCATCATCCCAGTCAAGCTTCTAAATTGTATCATCGCCATCACTATTTCCCAATCGAACGCATTGTTTCTATTTTTCAACAAATCCCCAAAACACAACAAGCATAAAAAAACACAACACAATCATTATCTCTCAACAAAATTTTTTTTAACATTAACATCTTTATCTGTAACATCCTCAATACCGAGTTAGTAATCAAATTGTAAAGTTTCAGAATTTGGTGATAAAAGTAGAATAGTTATATAGTTTAATGACTTATTAGAAATATAGTTGAAGGTTGTTTGGTAATTATTGAATGAATTAAAGGGTAACGTGGTCAATTGACAAGTAAGATTTTTATTTCCCTTTATAAGATAAGGGAACCACGTGGAAGATGAGAGATTTCTCCAGAGTTCTCTTCTTCTCCTTTCTTCTTTTTCTTCACGTGAAGTCATAAGCAAAGGTAAGATCTCTTGTTGGTTGATATTTAGCCGAATTTAAGATGGGGTTTTGATCATTAGATGATAACTAAGCTTAAGGAAAGCTTAAGTTATCTTAAAATCAAAAGATAAATGAGTTAATGAAGATTAAAGATTTGGAGTTCTTGAGTGAAATATTGAAGTAGAGTTTATAATAAGAATTGAAAGTTGAATTTGACTTGCCATCAATAAGAATAAGAGATTTATGAAGTTAGAAAGAATTAATAACAAAGTTGAAAGTTTTGTAAGATTCTTAAATTTTAAGAATCATGATGAGATATGGAAGATAAAGATGATTTATATGGATATAAGTTGATTTAAGTAATGGTAGTTGAGTTTAATGACATGATAGGGGCTTAAAATAGAAGTATTGAGTGAAAAGTTGATGGTTTTTTGGCTTAAAATGCAAATTCTGGGTAAGGTGTATCGATGCACATTCAATGTGTACCGATGCACTCTTTAAAGAAGAAACATCGAATGCAATTAGTGCATCGATGCATAAGGAGTGCATTGATGAACCCCCTTAAAATGAAAACATCGAAGGTGGTGGGTGTATCAATGCATGGGTAGTGCATCGATGCACATGTTAAAGAATGCATCGATGCACTGTAGAATGTATCGATGCACTTCAAAGGGGAAATAGAAATAGACCTTTCTTTTGGTCTAAGAAATGATAGATTAAAGTATATCAATTGGATATTGATATGTATCAATGTGTGATTATGTAGATATCGAACATGAACAAGTTTCGGAATGATTATCAAGTTAGGATTCGATCGAAAGAGAGGAAATCATAAGTGGATTGGAACGTAGTGAGGCCAAGGTGAGTGCAATTTATTTTTATAAGATTATATGAAAATTGGACTTGTGATAAGTCTATTTCCTATAGTAATAATTCATTAAGTCTTGATCATAAGTATGTTAACAACATGAAGTGTATGTATGTTTGATTGTATGAATTGATATGTTTTGTATGTGCTATGTGGTTTACGTAAAAACACTATTAAGTGTTAATGAGAGAATATAAAATAAGTTATGAAATTATAGGAATATAGAAGATCAGTCAAGTGATATATGGAAATGGAAATAGATGTTTATGAAGAGCTATAGGAGAACAAATATAAGTCATATGATAATGAAATATAAGACTATTTGAATACATGGTTATGAGATAAAATATGTAATAATAGGAAAATATGATGAAAGTGAGTTCATGAGAAGTGATAGGAACTAGGTAAACATGTGTAACAGTATATGCTTAATAGAAACATGAGTTGGACAAGTATATAGTGGTATGATCCATTATGAGAATTAGTATAATAGAGCTTTTTGATTTAATGAGAGTTAAGGGAACTAAATAAGATTGACGTATAGAATGAAATGGGAATAATATATCAATTAGGAAACTTGAATATAAAAAGGATGATACGAATATATAAGATAAGTTATATGCTAAAGATTTATGGAGCTATATGAAAAGGTTATAAGGAATATATGAAATTGAATTAAGTAAATAGATTAAATTAATATATAAATAAAATACCATTAAACGATATATGTTTAGAAATACGACATAGTTAATGTAATCTAAGGGAATACAAATAAATGAAGTATAAGGTAGATGATATGACATAAGTTATTATATACATATATGATATATGTTATCAAGTAATATGAAAGGACTCAGAAAATTGATATAAGCTATGTGGAAGTATTCTAGGTGTTTCTATGTGCTATATGAAGTATATATGATTATATGTGAACAAGATATGATATGTAGGTTTACATGAACATCTAAGAAATGATCTAAGCTATATGATATGATCTATGCGATTCTATGCACTTTGGATATATGTTATATGATATGGATCTATGTGACTACGTGAGAAATAATATAAGCTATGTGACATGTAAATGTGAATTATATGAAAATGTTCTACGCGTAAGTGAAATATGTGAATATAAGTAATAGGAGCTACGTGCTTATGAGATATGAATATGGAACACGAGCTATGTGAAAATAAGTTAAGTAATTACATGTGCAAATAGAAATGTTATGTGAAAAGCTATGTGGCTATATGAAGATGTGTAATGGTATAAAAGATAATGCCCATGTTATGTGATATGAGAGCTAGGGGTATAGTTGGCATGCCAAGAGTCGAGGGATTATTAGTGGTCCTTCAAGACAAACAGTGGTCCTTCGGGATATAGTGGTTCTTCGGAATAATCAGTGGTCCTTCGGGACATAGTGGTCATTCGGGACAAATTTTCGATGCCCCTTGAGGGAATTATACGAGCTGTGGTGACATCATAGTGCACAACCTCTATGTACTCGCATATCTTTAGTTCTCATATGTGTACATGGGCTAATAAAGAGACAATATAAATAAACTTGATATGATAATATGTTTGTTTCCTTGTGAAATGTTATGTGTGATATATGATTGTACAAATGGTAATTATAAGATCATATAATAAAAGGAATCTATGATAGTGATAAAAATGAAGATGATATAGTTGCTTGATTGTATATGTTATATGATATAAGTGAGTACATGTTAAGATATATGATATGAACAAGAGAATAAGAGATATGAATGATAATGACATGTATGTATGTAGTGTATTTGTTACATGAATAAGGATATGAGTGGTATGATATAATAGTAGTAATTATTCATGCATGATTACAAGTTATAGTTTACATTATATGTTTATTTGTCTCACTAAGTCATCGACTTAGCGTGTGAGTGTTTCACACGTAGGTTCTGAAAAGCTAGAGAAGTGAAGAGGAGCAAGACAGGTCAGACTCTCCTTTCCACAGATCATATCAGAATTGTAGTTAAGTGTAGATATTTGGTTGTATATAGTGTGTTGGCATGTAACAAAATTGTGAATTACTAATGCTGTGATTGATTTTGTTTATTTTGGTCCAACTTGTGTGAATTGACATCTAAAATTTTAATGAAAGTTTAAAATTTTCATGATTTTCTTTAAGAGTCAAAGTTTGAAAAGTCAATGTGACATCTCGGACTCGGATCCGGGTCGGATACGGGTTGGGGGTGTTACATTATTAGCATAAAAACACAACAAACTCAATCACTAAATTCAAAAATCATAAACTAAAACACAACAAAGCATCCAAAAAAACAAAGAGAAATAGAAAAGGGAATAAACATTTGTCCCTCCATCGTTTAGCCTTCGTGATGGTCGACAACGATGTGAAATGGTCATGGTGAGAAGTAAAAAAAGAGTGAAATCAGAAATAAGCATAGAAGAGAGAAAAACAAAAGAAAATAAAAAGGTTGAAAGTTTTACCTTCAATTTTTTTAATGCGATGGTCGGACAACCATTTTACACGGTAAGGAGAAAGGTAACGATGAAGGGACGATGGCGTGATGATCGGGATTTGGGGTAGTTCATGTTGAAGACAGAAATGGGAGGAGAAAATTGGGGTAAATGGCATGATTTGGAGAGAGATGAGGGAATGAGGTGGAAGAGAAAGACATAAAATGAAAAACGAAAAGAAATTTAATTTTTTATTTAGACCAAAACGACGTTGTTTTGATCTAAATTTTAGTTTTTCAAAGATTAAAAACTACATTGTTTTAGTACAAGTTGTCTAGTCAGAACACCGTTAATTATTTAATGGTTGAGTGACCAAAAAAGTTAAATGCCTAAAGCTCAATGAACAAATTGAAAATTTGAAAGTACGGTGAGTGAAATAGAAGAGAGTAAAGTTCGGTAAGTAAGTGTGTAATTTACTCATTATTCCGAGAGGTAACTTCAGGTTTTGCTGGTATGAAGAAGGGAGAAATTTCCATGGATTCTCCCACTCAAAACACCTCCTTGCAGCGGCTTCAAAATGTGGAGAAGGTAACGAAAGAACTTTCAATTCCTTTAAGGAAAGTTCCAGTATTTTTTTCCTCTAACAAGAAATTCTGAGATAAGCTAGCTTTTTCGTGGTTTCGATTGGATACAGCGAATAGTTAGGGTTTTGGAGCTGCCTGGAGGTGTCATGGATGAACTCGCGAATCCTACGGGTCCCAGGAAAGAATATATCAACAATTCGTGAATTCACGAAGATGATCAAGATTCCTGCTTTATTCTGCTGTATCATTGTTCTTAACCTGAATTTCCTGATAAGATTTGAATTAGGGTTTAAATTGTTAGTTTTAAGCGTTGGGTTGAATTAAGATTGGATTGTAGCATTACGTATTAGTTGGGAATTTTCCGATAATTAACGCATTTCGGTTTTAAAAACGCCCAGGACATCCAAGTGACGTTGAGGGATGAAATCAAGAGTGCCTGTGAGTATCGTTCATTTGAGAAGTGTGATTATAGTTCGAGAATATCGAATGAAATCTGTTTAAAAAAACTCGAATACGTGATCTCCCAGTTGGATGCGATGGAACAAACCATCGATGAATACCAAGCTACCATTTAAAAGATGCAATGCTAGGAGTTAGATAGGCTGCTTACTTGCTAATTGTCTTAATGAATGCATGTCATTAGGAATCAACAAAGTTCACTAATTTTGTCTCTTATATCATTGAAGTTTGCTAAGACATTTTTGTATGTTTGGTATTCTTTATTGCAGAATGAAATTTTCACTGTTCTGTTAACTTACCACAATCGAAGCTTTTATTATGTGGTTTGGAGGTCGTCGAGAGTTTGAGCTAGAGTTTCTTATTCTTAAAAACCATTTTGTTGATGAACTATGTTTCAGCTTAACCATTGATTGAAGTGGAACTATAAAGCCACTATGCTTAGGTGGGTCGTGGGTACAATTCTTTCATAGTTTACTGAGTTCACAGAGTGTAAATGCTAAAAAATTAAGGTGCCCTTCTGATTTTGTATAGCTCTGTAGTTTCTTGATTTCAAGTTCTAGTTGCTCTTGCACCTTCTGCCGTCTTCTCGTATCTTTCAAGCTTCCCCTCCCAAAGCATGCAGAGATGATTATCTTCAGTTGGTTTCATAGATCCTCGTTCAGGGTTATAGCTTTTACGGCACTGTTGTACAATAAATAGTCATTATTGAGCATAATGCAAGTTCAGTTCAATATTTCATTTCAGTTATCAAGGTTTCAGTTTCGTAAGGCGGTGCTGCAGAGGGCTAAATATCATCGTTGCGTAAGAAAGCCAAGGTTTCAGTCTTCGAAAGCTAAAATTATGAAGAGATAATTAGGAAAGATTGCCAAGGATCGAACGAGAAAACCCGTGTTGTATTTGAAAATTATTGTGTTGTAGTTTGTTGATTTTATTCCAATGATGCTATGAAGAGAATGGGGTAGAGCTAACAAGAACAAATTCACAGCATGACTGCATGAGCATGGTTTTAAGTTGTGCACAGGGACAGAAGTAGATGGACTTTGTTTTTTGGTCCAATGACAATTTAGGTCCCGAAAGGTTTAAATATTACTTAAATTAATCTTTGCCACTTATTTTTTGGATTTATTACTTAACTAGATTCCTTTTTTTGAAGCTCGGCAATTTAGTCCCTCTCATGATTTGATCTTAGTTCCTGCCCTGGTTGTGCATAAACTTTCAGTGTATAACTGCGTCATGATCTTTCAGTATTAATGTGTACATATCAACAGATTTTACAGCCTTGGAGTGTAATTAACGCTGGATAATTAATCGATACTTTATTCAGATAGAACGTTTGTATATACATATATCTCAAACATTTTTTGCAGATATCATGTTGCTTTCATATGGCATCTGCTGAGATTATTCATTTATTTATGAATCTTGTACTGTGGCCCCCAAGGATATTCTTGAATCATATGGCGAATTAATTTAATTGTGATTAGTTAACATGTACCCTGTCTAAACCAGAAACTTTTAACTTTCAGAGGGTGTCTCTCAAGCTTTGTAGAAGGATCTGTATTAAAAGATTCTCAGATTTTCTGCTTAATTCACTCTGAAAACAGGTACAGTTTCAGTAGATGGAAATTACGATCATGGTCCCAGGAAGGCCAGCATTTAAGGTCAAATTATGATTTTGGTCCTTCTATAATACTTATATTTTGTCCCTTCATTTTCCTTCCACATGATTTGATTCTTTTATAATCACTGGTACTTGAAATATTGGCCAACTAATCTAGACTGATGACTGTAGATGTTCATATGAGAATGATTATCTAAACCTAATTTTCTCTTTAAATGTATGTGTGTGTCCTTAGGGAAGAGGATAAGTTGGTTTTGATTAATTTAAATTTTATGATTAAGCTAATTAATAATTATAAAAGTTTGTTGATTTGATTACTATAGACTACATAATATGATTGATTAAGTCAAATTAAATCAATGGAATTAATTATTTGTTCCCTAAACATGCCACTGCCATTCCCTCAGCCTTGCTTGATTATAGGATTAATATCAAAATAGGTTCCTAAACTAATTTTGGTTTCATCCAGGTGTCTAACGTTACAAAAGTTACCCATTTAGGTGCCTAGGCCGGTAACGGTGTTAATTTTTCCATTAAATGACACGTGTCACTACGTGGTAATTTTAAAATTTTACTTAAAATTAAAAAATTATAATTATAATCTTTTTCAAAAAATAGAAAACACAAATTTTGAAATAAACCAAAAACTTTGAAAACCTTCATTTCAATTCCTAAACCTACGTTGGTCGCCACATTTTGCCCTCGACAAAACTCCACCTGACCTCCCCTCCCTCCGCCGACCAAAACCCCCCATGAAATTGTGCTCGATCGACGGTCTATCGACGACGAATCAATGTTTTAAATTGTCCTAACCCTAGAATTAAAATCGCGATTCTAACGGCCAATCGACGAAAAATACGACGGTGTATGAGTAGGAGGATGACATGTGATACGTCGGTGACGGTGGTCGTGGCCGAAAAGGGCGACGATGAAGGATTAAGGTTAGGATTTGGATTTTTGGGTTGTTTTATAATATAAGAAAAAATAATGTTTTTTTTAGAAATATCATAATATTTTTAATACATTATTTTAAAAAATAATTTTTAAAATCATCAGATTGTGACATGTGTCACTTAACGGAAAGAATTAACGTCGTTGATAGCCCAATTACCAAAAAGAGTAAAGGTTGTAACATTAGGCACTTGAATAAGATGAAAATTAATATAAGCACCTATTTAAGAAAAACTATATAATTTGTACACTTATTTTAGTATTAAGCCGTGATTATATGTAATATTTGACGTGTAAGGAGGGACAGTACAGTGGGACAAACAGGGACAGGTAGAAAGAGCAGGTCCCATCACCTCAGTAAAGCAACACTGCAAACGTAAACGACGACGAATTTCAAACAGTGCACAAATTGTCGGAACTCTTGACCACTGATACACTGTTCACCATACACTCAAATTAATACCCGCGTCGCACTCGAATACACCCCTCCTGAACTACGACACCAACCTCTGATGTTCTCTCCGAGACTAAAACCTACCTTATTCGTTTTAATTAGTTTTAGTATATAAAACTTTTATTTTTTTAAATTATACATAATTTTTTAATTTTTTATTTTAGTTTTAGTATATAAAACTTTTATTTTTTTAAATTTTTTAAAATTTAACGTTAAATTTTGAACGGATATTAAAATGAAACAAAAATTAAACTTTAAGTATTAAAATGGATAAAAAATGTTAGTTTAAGTACTAAATGGATAATCTATCCATAAAACAATTAACAAGGTCTAATTGCAATTTTAGTCATTCTACTATAACTAAAACTTGAAATTTTAATCATTTTACTCTAACGTGATTTGGTTCCTTTTTATAGGGTAAAGTGCATTAAAAGTTTCTAAACTATGATTTTGTGTCATTTTGGCCATTAAACTTTTGAAAGTCTTAAAATGGTTATTATATTTGTTGAAAAATTACATTTTGATTGCTCCGCCATTACCTACATTAAAGTGGATCATAACCCAATGGTTAATATCTTATTTGACCCCCTGATTATAATTAATATGCTATTTTAATATATTTTTAAGCAATATTTTTAAAATAACAATAAATTTTAATATAGTTTATATTTGTAAGTATAAACTTGTTTTTAGAAATATAATTTTATATAAATTTTAAAAATTCTCAATTTGAAACTTTAAACAATATATGGCTGTTACCCAGCTCATACAACATGGGGTACTTCTGCTGTGGCACCTAAAAAAGGCTAAAAAACGACGTGATCGATTAAAGAAGTGATCGGTTATGTTATATCATTTAACCGGAAATATTATCAAGCACAATAACATATTAGGTAGCGCTTATATAATGTAATAGGTAACGCTTATATAATAAAATAAGCATTTAACCGGAAATATTATCAAGTATAATAACATACTAGGTAGCGCTTATATAATGTAATAGGTAGCACTTATATTGACCTATTTTCTCATAAAACCGGTAAATTTCAATCGGTTACATTGTAAATTGACTTATTACATTATAATTGTCGGTTTCAATGTTTTTGGGATCGATACAATTTTAAATGTATCGACACTTTATGTGTGCACCTGTTTGTGCTTTCGTTTTGGAAAAAAGTATGGACACATATTTAAAGAGTGTCGATACATAATGTAGACATATTTGCTAATTAACCGGGTTACATTGTAACATGTTAATAATTATCGGTTTCATTGTATTTGGATAGATACTTTTTATAAATGTATCGACAATTTATGCGTACACCTCGTCTGGACAAGTGTATCGACTCAAATTTAACAAGTGTCGATACTTTATGTTGACATATTTTCTCATATTTTTAGCTGCTATATTGTTATCGATAGATACATTTTCATAAAGTGTCGACACTTTTTAACGCTATAACTTCTTCTCTTTTAAATTCAGAAAGTGTCGATACTTATATTAAATTATCGACACTTTCAACATATCTGGTATCTTTTTACCGGTTTTGTCATATTTTTACATGTTATATTGTTATGGATCGATACATTTTTTAAAAGTATCGACACTTTTTAGGCGCTATAACTTATTCTCTTTAAAATTCAGAAAGTGTCGATACTTATACTAAATTATCGACACTTGCAACATATCCGATAGCGTTTTACCGGTTTTGTCATTTTGAGACCGATTTTGTCATATTTTTACCTGTTATATTGTTATAGATTGATACATTTTCATAAAGTGTCGACACTTTTTAGGCGCTATAACTTCTTCTCTTTTAAATTCAGAAAGTGTCGATACTTATATTAAATTATCAACACTTGCAACAAATCTGATATCGTTTTACCAGTTTTGTCATTTTGAGACTGGTTTTGTCATATTTTTACCTGTAATATTGTTATGGATCGATACATTTTTTAAAGTATCGACACTTTTTAGGCGCTATAACTTCTTCTCTTTTAAATTCAGAAAGTGTCGATATTTATATTAAATTATCGACACTGTTAATTTACCTATTACATTATAATTATTTGTTTCGATGTTTTTGGGGTTGATACTTTTGGAA